ACATGAGAAACAAAGAACTAGAGGACGGACGGAAGTACACATCACTATGCCCTGCTGATGGATCGATACCGACGATGCATCAATTCCTTCCGACATAACCCCGTAAGTTACATGTCTGATTCAATGTATATTCAGCGATGTATAATAGGCGCATAAAGTAGATCAATATTATTGTTGTTTTGTCATCGTCAACTGAGATGAAAGAGTAAACAACAGAGTAACCCAGATTCATGACTCTGATCGTTAGAAATTGTACTTCAGATTGATATTAGGCGGCAACATTTAATGCTGCGGAAAAGGTCATATTTCTTTTAACAAGCAGATTTGTTTCAACGAGATTAATCCGTTGTATTTTCCTCTGATACGTCAATGGGCAATGCACGACTCCCGAAACGTTTGTCTAGCGAAGAAAATAATAGGAGATACATTTGGCACAACAGACGCTCAAACAACATGGAACTAAGAGCAAGGGGCGGTGCAGTGCGTCTTGGAGGGGTCAATCGCTATTTGATGCTGTTGTGAACAGTCTATGATGTCTCTTCTCGTTTTATGAAGCCAACATAGGCTTCGGTTTCTAAGTTCATCCAATACTTCCCTCCTGCTCCTTTGTGAACCAGATGCACCATCGGACTTTGAGGTTACTGCGCAAAAGTGTTGTTAGAAGCTGTCTAAACGAGCTTCATGACACTTCAGGACTGCAGGTGGTTCCCATACTGTACATAAGTAGCGGAAACATGGCTGCTTCAAAATAGCCAGCTCGTGTTCATTCTTGTATTCAAAAGTACATCAATGATCTGCATGCAATGTACCTATCTTTAACTTTTGTCTTTTCCCTACAATCTAGGAAACTGAAGGCGAATATCGAGCACCTTGACGCAGGCGACCTACCAACAGTTAGAAGTATTTCCTTGGCAGAAGCAGTCGACTTAATACTGACCTAGAACAAAAGGACTTAAAACCCAAAAAGCAACTAAAGACTATCTTTTCGATTAATCATCAACATAAAACGGAAATAAAGCCAAGTTACACTACTCACATAACACTGAACCAACCCTTTCTGTAATAACAATAATAGTTCAATCGAGACTACAAATCGAAGAAGCGTACTCGTCCAAAATCTTGCGATTTCCAATGATACCCTGAATCCGCTCCGCCGATTCAAATCCGAAGCTTAGCTGCGACAGTTCGGAGGGAGAAGTAGAAGACAAGATTTTCATGATACCAGCAGGAAACGAAAATGTGACGTTGCCGAAAGTTCGAACGGCACACCTAGCAAAAATAAAAGATAGCTCGAAAAAAAGTTAAACCAAAAAAAGGGGAAAATCGCTGCCTACTCGTTCGAACTCTTGAAAAGTACGTGTATGGTTTCTGTAACAGCGACTGCCAACGGAATGCGATCTGTCACGCAACTGCTGACCGGCGAAGGTCCACGAGAAGCCGCAGTCCCGGCAGACGATGCGGCACCGGAAAACTCGGGTATGGAGCCAAGGGAGTTCTGTCGTTCAGCAAACGGTCTTTCGCTGTCCGTTGGCGACATGCTTTCTAGTCCAGGCTGTCCCTAAACAAACAGCCGATTGGCCAGGCGTCACGTCCAGCCATGAATAAAACTGATTCTCAATAGTCCGTCATACCTGACGACCGCTGCTGCTGCCCAGAATCATCATATGCGTCGGCGTAGTGCTTCTTGGACGCAACCGTCGCTCAAGGCTAACCGAGGAGTTAGAGAAATTGGACAAATTTCCGGCAAAGGCCAAATTGTTCCATCTGTCATCGCCAGTCTTCGCAGGACGAAGCACCATGGCTTTGAGAGGACGGCTGGATGGCACAATTTCCAAAGATCTGTTTGCATTCTTAAACGCCACGTATCCACACCTTACGTCATTTAAGCATATCTTCTGTCGTACCTTAATGTTGCTGCTCATGCTTTCCACTACATCCTTCAGCTCGTCCACAGAAGCACACACTTTACGACGATCCGACAAAGGAGGCTTGATCTCGAGTTTAATTTTACTTGGCATCTCGTCATCTAAAGCTGTGTAATTGACGTCTCAAAATGTCTGAAGGAGTAAACGGAGAGTATGAATTTTCCATTATTCCTGAAACGTGCCACACCTAATGAATCCCCTTTACTACTGAGACGATATCAACATGTGGTAAAAGATAAGAATTCTAGCTTCAACCAGCATGTTTCTCAGTGTGCTAAAACAGAGATGTACTGGGTTCGAGCCTAACCAGGTCACTCTCCTTCCTTCCTTCCCATGTAGATAAATCTAAATGCACCACTCTGTGGGACGGCAACAGGAGACCACATGATCTGTTGGCCACAAAACTGTAGACTCTTCTGTACAATTAAACTCTACAGGAAAGGTATTGGTCAATCTCCAGAACACTACAGAATCCGTTACAAAATCCTATAAATTAAACATAGAGTAGCCGTGATCTGCTAGGTAACTATACTCTGGCCCATTTAAAATGATACACACTACCACATGAGTTATAATGTTTACGTTTAAAAATAAGCTAAATAATAGTTCTTCCTCGGTTTGAAAAGGCGTAAACTGACTCACAACGATAATAGATAAAGAAATGGTGAGAAGTAAGGAAAAAACGTTTATTAAGTGATGCTTTCACAATCCTTCTTCAGGAAAAATTAATAACGTACAGGGAAGATATCCTAGTCAGAAATAACAACGCTCAGCAGATATATAATCAAAGCATTGCAAATATGAAATGAATCATAAGTAAGTAAAATCTGTGAAAAAAAGGATAAAAAGTAGTAAACGAAAAAAAAATTAAAGAAATAACTGAGATACGAAATAATAAATAATGATGAGATTCCAATCGAACGAATTTGAAGCTAAGTTAATCGTTTACACAATATGCTCCAAGTGCTTCTAGGTGCACCAAATAATTTCTCCTTTCATCCCGTATATTTTATACTTGACTATTTCATTCCGACCATACGCACAGCAGCTTCAAGAAGATGTCCTAAACATCTCCGTCAAGCAGATGGGTACAGTAAGATAGATTTCAAGGAGAATATGCTAGGTTCAATACACACGACTGATCCAGTCCTAGGATTGACCACTGTCAGTCCTTTATCCGACCTTGCCAAAAGATTATTTATCTTATGACTCTGTACTCGATATTCGAACGAATCATACTCAGTTGTGACGCACG